TTCTCCTAACCAAATTCATTCAAAGGACTATAACCATGAAGTTATGAATTGTTTAAAGTATTCCACAGAGCACCTCTTCAAAAGATTAGAACTACTGTTTTCAGTCTGGATTTTAAGTCATATATTATGGCCAGATTGTTTAGATGTTGGCGTATGATCTATTCCATACAATGTCATAAACTGAGTGAAAGGAAATGTCAGCAGTAATGATGAATGTGTTTTGCATTGTTATTTTGTGGTGGAAAATCAACCTGCAGACTCCATACCGTATGGGTTGTTCTTACAGTGCGATTGTTTCACACAGCTGTCGTCATGTTCCTCAAACAGCTTATGAATAATGTCAAAGAAGATGTAAAGTGTATTATTCTGCTGAAATAATAGCATTTTCTTAAAAGGGTGTGCATCACCTGCAAATACATATCAGAGTGGCAGGCATTTGTACGTTTCCCAGCAAAATCTTGCAGAACCTTGTTCAGAGCACCATACAGTGTTTTCTCATAGTCTGACTCGTTGGCACCTCCCATGGACACACATCCATTTGTGTCCACAAACTGTTCCCATTTTACAACACTTACACTTACTATTTATAGGTCTTCTGTTCATATAGATAAATGTAACCCATAGGGTACTCTTTTATTTTAGAGCATCTTTAAGCAGGAATAGATTTATCACATAACTATCCAGATTTATTGGTGAGGTCTCAAAATGAGTAGAGTAAATGAAAAGCTTTGCTTCTGTTGTGTTTGATTGCTGTTACTTATTGTCACTAGATAACAATGATGTAACATAATAGAACAGGAGACAAACTTAAGTAGAAATGCAGACAAACAGAAACATTAGTCTGATTGGGGTTCTGTCTTTGTTTGTGAGTTTAACTATTGTCGTCCATTTCACAATAATCATCACAATAAAACAAATTGGCAACAAAGATGAGGGCTTTTGTACTTGGTCTACCACCTACCCTGCCTACATCCTGCTAATGAGCTTCCAAAACCATTTACAAAGTGGTAGAAAATATAAAAAAATTACATGCTAGTCATGAACCCTACAGTAGACAAATGGACGACTGAAAAACAACGTGGTGTTTTATTCCACTGCTTGGGACCAGAAGGACAGTGTCTGTTCTACACACTACCAGAACAAGTTACAGCATTTGATTAAGCTATCCCTGCGCATGAAAGACATTTTGTCAATAATAAGTTAATGAGTTGGTGTGCAGACACACATTCAGACAATGTGTGCCGATAAAACCGTCAGCCAAAATGACACCAAGCTCAGAGGTTTAGCTGCAATATGTAGATTTGGAGCGATGAAAAACAATCTTATAAAGTGTCCGTTAATTTCCAATGCTTTTTTCAGTGCTGTGAAGGATACATTTCTGCTGGAGGAGGACCTCACACTGGACAATGCTCTATCTATCCTTTGCATGCCAAGTGGAAGCAGCAGTTAAAAATGCTACACTGCTCTCAGCTGCGATTAAGGTCCTGTCTGTACCTGTATAGGCCATGCTGCAAATGCTTGCTTTGGAGGGAAGAATGAATGCAAAAAGCTCACATACATGAACCTCCACCAAATGTTTTATTATAAACAGGCAAGCGAAAAGAGCAACATCTTTGCTTCAGATGTGCTTAAGATAAACACCTAACTAATGCTAAAAACTAAAAACTGCCCTGCTGCTTCAGTAAATTGGAATAAGTCCAGTCCAGACCAACTGACTGCCATTGCTGAAGCTCTGACACCAAAATATTTGACAGCTCTTCGTTCATTCCTAGACTTAACCTCTTGGTTCATCGAGTTTCTACCAAGCTATGCAACACTGAGCCACCACAAGAGCTACTTGGAGCCCCATAATCAAACTGTATGAAAACGGACTGATGAACCAAACACAAGTTTCAATGATCTCAAAACAATGATCCTGAAAAGCCCAATGCTTGTCATCTACAACTCATAGCTGTCAGCATTCAGCACAGATCCTTCAGACTGTGTACTGGGAGCTCTTCTGACACAGTTCCACTCAGGCAATGTAGAACACAATGTTGCTTGTGCATCCCTCACCCCGTCTCCAGCTGGAAGGAAGTACTATATATATGTATAGTATGTATTTATAAATATATAAACTCTTTCTTGTGTGTGGGCAGTTGAAAGATGGAAAACAAGTATGGGGACTCAGATTCACACTCAGAACTGATCATCAAGCCCTCACCACTCTGCCAGGCACTAAAGGGATAAATAGAGCTGACGTGAAAATTACACAGTGGTCAGCTGGACTGATGTGTTTCTAGTACAACATGCAATACCAACCAGTAAGTCAGGACATCATGGCGAATTGCCTCTCACATCTTCCCCTGCGCTTGTTGAATTTAAGTCTAAATGTGAAGACTGCCTAAAACTTACAAAACTGCAACCCATCATCCTCTCAGGAAGGCTTAAAGTGAAGAAGCACCTTTGAAAAGAAGTCAAACCTTATTTACTTGTGCGATATCTAGAGGGAAGTTTCTCATATTTCCTAATTCTCTGCAAGAAAAGGTCATTCACCTGGCTCAGGAAGGACACCCAGGCATGGATTGCACTGAACAACACCTCAGAGGTGGCCACATAAGGAAGATTTTGTCCACACAGTCCCACTATTATACATTATATTTAAGACATGTCACAAAACCATTAATGATTTACCTGTCAAGTTGTCTATGGGGTCCATTTGAACACATTGCTCTTGACATTGTAGGTCCATTTAATTATGGAGCTTAAGACTGCAGGTTTGCTATCACCCTTGTTGATTATTTCAGCAAATGGTCTGAAGTAACATTTATTCAGAATACCACAAAAAAACAACAACACAGTATTCGCATTCCTAACTTTTGAATTTGTACATGAAGGAAAACCTTGCCCCATCAAAACTAATAATGGACCACAGTTTACGTGTTCTGCCTTTGCTGATTTCATGGGTTAACGTGACATTAAGCAGATCAAAACACGTGTATACCATCCTCAGGCGAACAGACGTGTTTTAAACTTTAATAAAGACACCATTCAGGTAGCACAAGCTGTCCTGTACTTACCAAAATACTTCACAGATACCAGGCTTTACCTCATGCTACAACTGGTGAATCTCTTTTTAGCTTCTTTGAGAAAGACTAGTGAGGACAAAACTAGAAGTCTTACCTCTGGCTAATCACATGCTGCTGTGACAGTGTAGGACAGAAGAGACTGTGTAAAGTAGAAATGCAGAAAAAAAACTAGTCTGAACGCAGTTCTGCAATGAAGTCTTTACAGTTGTAAAATTTGTATGCGTAATAGTCGTTTCCTGTTTCAGTTCAGATGCTACAACGGTGTCCACTAGACGGAACTATTTAGGTATTTGTGCTACTTAGTCATTTGATATGTTGCGTTCAAAATAAATCCAATTAATTGTATAAAAAATGTAAGTATCAGACCAGGACTAAACATCTTAACATACAATATTTAACAGATTGTGGAGTTTGAGGTTGAAGCACATAAAATAAATGTTCTCCCTCCTATTAAAATCTAAGCTCTGCTCCCTTCTGCTCTAAAATATCTAACAGCAGAACGGAGCATGACATTAATACTGCCCGACAGCTTGGTCCAGCAGGACTGTAACTGCTTTTCTTTTATTCCAGAACTTCTTGGACTTTGGTATTGCAAAGACATTGATGAGAACAGAAAAGGAAAAGTGTTGCCAAACTTGTCTAGATTTCCGGATGTGCAGTTCCGTAATTCCTGACCCAAGCCACTTCAAATATTTGCACAACAGCGCAGCCAGAGAATAAAACAAGCAGGTTGTTGTCATGCCAGCAAAAGCAAATGCACCTTCCCTCTGCAGCAGGAAGTCCTCTTTAGCTGACCAGAATAAATCACTCACCAGGTGAGGTATGGACACTGTTTCCTTGCTTTCTGCTTTTTTAGTACTGGAAGAGAATAAGTTAAGCTCTTCTTCCTTAGCTTCCATCCTTGGATGAGCTCCAGTTTTAATTGTTAGATGCTAGCGTCTGTTGATGTTGCTGTCATAATAAGATAAAGAGTTTTTCCTGAAGTCTATAGAAGTGGGTTTAGCAGTGATGGAGGGCCTTTCTCCTGCAGCTCTGCTGGTTGCATTAGCCCCATGCTTTATAATTGTGAGAAGGGGCAGCTCCACTGACTACCTCATTACTCACTGGCATGGCCAGGCTCTGGCAGGAAGACACACCTTGTCCTCTAGTTTTTTTTTCCCCCCTGCATGCCTCACTAATTTCAGGGTGTCCCTCAGTTCCATCATGTCACCAACCTGCCGTGGGGAAGTCTCACAATTGTTTTTGACCCACTAGTGCCAATGGCATATATCAACTTCTCTGTTGCCATTTTTTTTTCTTCTTTTTTTGACATAAACCTCTGACAAACTGGGGCATACTGTACTACATTCACTCTGACTGATGTCACCTAGACCTTGGGGTTAATGCTTCAGTATAGCGTAGCCTGAGACTGTGTTGGCGCAGTCGCAAGAGTCAAAAGTGTGAACTGTCAAAGCATTGCTGTGGGATCGCAGCAGCTGAGACAAATGATTCATGTGTTTTTGGTCATACTGATAACTTACATAAAACAGATACAATAATGGCACGTTAATAACTACTGAGTGTGTGATGCTCCTTATGAGAGTCATCATGAGCTGATTGGTATGAAGTGAGGATAGCCAGCGCAGAATGAGAGGCAATTTGATGACATAATTGAGATTCCTTGAGGGCCAATTTGTTACACATGCTTACAGTGTAAGTGGCTGATGATTGTACTGCTGCTCGGCGCACATAATATCACGAGCAGAAGTCGACTTTCACCGAGCTCATCTCTCATTCACTTTATGGCTGCGTGTTGAAAGAGCTCCTTCTAAAAATATATGAATGAAGAGCGAACGATAACTTCCAGTAATTTTCGAGGTTTTTATGACATGTTTTCTATTAATCTTTCACCTTTTCTGAACATGCAATTTTCTGTTATTTTTCTCTCTTCAGAGGGTGGAACATGTGAGGTGATTGCTGCCCACCGATGCTGTAACAAAAACCGTATCGAGGAGCGCTCTCAGACAGTCAAGTGCTCCTGTTTACCTGGGAAAGTGGCGGGGACGACACGCAACAAACCCTCCTGTGTGGATGGTGAGAAAATTTGCTGTGTTTTTAATATAATACTACTGCTGACAATTCAAAACTGGGCTCTTTCATGAATGAAACAAGTCCTTGACACCTGCACTGACACACCAATGTTACACAGATTGCATCTAGTAAAAAGAGCGGCAATGATGCAGGCTAGAAAGAGCTTTGTTCTTGTCAAATCATTCGTTTGTTTCAGGAGTTATTCAAGACTTCAAACATTTATCTTGAAAGCAGCAACAATACTTTTGTCTAGAAATATTAATATGTCACAGTATTGAGATTTAAATAAGGATATGATAGCTAGTTACAATTATTTACTAAAATAAACAGAGCAATTCATAAATCTTGCAGTACACTTAAATATTGTGCTCAATATATCACACTAACATACTTTTTATTTTAAACTATACTTTGTAAATCAAACTGATGAACTCTACATTTCCAAAAATAATGAATTATACATTATAAAAAATGCAAAATGTGTAGTAAAATACCAGCAGCTGGAGTTGGCAGAACATTACAGTAATAAAATTACTGGTATATTGTTTTTGATTGTATATTATGAAACAAATCTGTACCATATGGGGTTGAACAGACTAGTCTAGTCGATCCCAGGACATTTCGTAAGTTTTATATTTCGTGTCGACTAGTTGCAGTCACAACCGCCCGCTTCGCTGTTCCCAGCCCTATTCCATCCAATCCACATGGTGGATTAAATAAAATAAAACTAAAAACTGTGAGGCGGTGGAACTGTCATTTCTAACACGGCCACGCCCACCCGTGCCAAAATCGTGTTCTGATCTCTCTTGTAAATGAGTCCCAGAGGCTCAATGGAATTAACCTGTATAAATAAAGTTTGAATGAAATGTGCTGAATGGGCGGACTGGGTTGGTGTCGGGCTTTGGATTGCATCAGCAGACTCGTGCGGCAGACTATCCAATTTGGATCACCACCAGCCGCGCTGACCGGACGGTTAAAAGATGTACAAAAACGTCCAGATGGATCACTGCCAGCGACCCAGCTGACGCTTAACTGGACCCAACCGCTGCGTCAGCGGACGCACACGGCTGATGACCATTAATAACTAATAATAACTATGATATTATAAAAAGGTGCTCCACCACGGCTCACCCCATTGCCCTCAGTTCCATTCCACCCAATCCACGGTGGTGGATTAAATAAAATAAAACTAAGAACAGGCGGGCGGTGGTGGATTCCATCACTGCCCGCCTGTTCTTAGCCTTGTTTTTTACGTGCCGCACATTTCTTTCACTTTTGCAGCGTAATAATAGTTGTGGTTTTTCTGTGACGTATTTGCAGTTTGATAAATGGTAGGAGCATAAATATACGCCCAATTTTTTTGTTGTTCTTTTTGATGTAAATAAGAAATTACTTTTTTTGCGATTTTATTTTTGCGAATATGATACAGCGTCTTCAGTTCCTATGACGTCATCGACTAATCAACGTCGACATAGAATTTTATCATGTTAAAGTCGACTTAAAAAATATGTAGTTGTTTAACCCCTAATAACTTTTAAACAACATCAATTCTGTAAAATATATTGCAATGTTTTAATAAAAACTCCAAATATATAGTAATATACTGCTGTTGTTACCAAATATTTTTGGAAGAATTGTGATGGCAATATTAAAAGCACAGAGTAAAGCAAGACTAATCTGAGATGTTACTTTTTAAGCCTATTGTCCCAATCCGCTCTCAGCAACTGCACAAGGAACATAAATCTATCACCCAACAATGAAATGGATTAGCAGCAACTGCAGTTGTAAAAACGTCTCCTAAAACTTGAGGTGCTATCATAACGGGTCAAAAACAACAGATGACCTTAGCTCAAGGCACGAAGAAAAACTATGCAAATGTCTAAAAGTCTATGTTTGACCTTTGCATGCTGTCAAGTGCAATAGCTGTCAAATACGACTGACAGTGCAATCTAAATACCATCATTTGCACTTTTATGATGCCATCTAAAACCCATTTTTTGGGGGAAAATAATACAGGTAAACAGTAAATTTAAAAAAAATTAAAAAATACAGGTAAACAATCAGAGGTGCAAAACACAAACTGTGCTGCAAACTGATCGAAGGCATAAAGCACAGAAAAAAAAGCAGGAAATCAAAACTGGAATATGCAAATTTCACATGTCTGGGGTGAAAACAGAGAAGGATGAATGCCAAACAGACTAGAAAGTAACTTTGAAAAAAATGCTTCAATATTAAACATAAAAAATACAAACTGTTATTTTAAGAAGCCTCAGAAATGACATAAAACATAACAAAATATAATAATATACATCAACGTATGAATGTGATCTAAAGCACTGATTAGTCTCTATAGATTGATTTGTTCAGATTATGGTATAAAGTTTATTCATTTTAAATAAGTACAAAACAATTCCATAACAATATAAAAAAAGATACAAGAGATTTAAAATGAAAGGCAGCAGAAAGAAGAAAAAATCTTATTATATCTGCCCCTTTTTTCAAACAATTATTTCAGTCATAATAATTTTCAAGTTTTCTTTATTATTCTTTATTCTTTATTTAAATTATCTTTATAGAGATGTAGAGTGCTGTATGAATGTGTGTGGAGGTAAATGAGGAAACAGATTGTGTTGTAAAGCCCTTTGAGTACCATGGTTAGATAGAAAGGTGCTGTATATACAGTCAAAAAAGTCCATGCTCATTAATCCAGGTATACAATCCAACAGTTTTCAGTCAGGTCATCATACACACAGTCCTTCTACCATTTACCATATTTCATTTCAGACAATCAACTATGAAATACTCTAAACAAGGCGACAACTGAAAATGAGCTTTTTTTGTTGTTTAGTTTTAAAGACGTGTACGAGATTTATTCGCAATTTTTTCAATGTTCACAGAAACAAACATGGAGCAGGTTTCCTCTCTTAAGCAAATAACTGGGCTTAGTAAAAGTGTTGATAACCTGCGTGACCAGTTCAACCTCTGAAACAGATTTGAAATTAAAATGATGTTGGCAGCGTTTTCGTGCAAAACAAACACAAACTCAGATTGCCTTGAAACAAACCTTGACACCTGTTCGGCAGCAATACAGATTAGAAAAAAAAGTTTGTGTTTGTTGTCAAACTCTGTTTTAGTTGGCAGCTTTCTTTTTTTTATTTTTTATTTTTTTGGTTTGCAGTGTGGGCAGCTGCTGTCAGTGGTGGAACAGTTCCTTTCTCCAGAACATGTTCTGCCACTGCCTCCATCACCTGTAGGATGTGTGCACACATCTGTATTTATAGAAAAGCCAACTTTTTCTCTGAAAAGACGTGCGATTGGCCAAAGTCTCTCATCAGGTGTTAGATTTATTATGTGGCTGAAAACAGCTGGGCTACTATTTGAAATACTTTACTTTACTTGCTTTAAAGTTGGAATTATCCTCATCTTTGTTTTATATAATTGAAAAATTCCATATTCACCTTTTTGTCTGCTGCCTCTGTGATGTCTCTAATGGTAAAAGTTCATTCAGCCATGAAGACACACTGAAGTGCGTCTGGGCATCATGGGAGACAGATATGATGATGAGCTGATTCAGTGTAGCTGATGAACACCTGAACAGGGAGCACATTGCAGATCACACTGCTTAAGGCATTTCAGGCTGATGGAAATGAATAACTAATGAACAGCCAGGAAAGCTTCAGGCTAGTGCACCTGAATTACCTCAGCTGAAAAGAAGAAGAAGAAAAAAAAAAAAACAGTCACTGAGAGGCTGCTCCACAGCTGGAAGAAAAAGAACTGACAGGAAGTCACAAGTCTGCTGAGACAGAACTGTGATGCCCCTTTGCTCCTTGGAGCTCATTTGTCTCTCCTCAGTCTGGATACTTTCACCTCCACCTCCAGCAAAGATCAAAGTTATCGCTCATGACTGCCCTCTTGCAAAAAAAAGACACCAAAATATCTTCATTACAGATACATGAAGGAGGAGGCAGACGGGTCTGCCACTCCACATGAGCCCAGCGTATAAAACCATGTCTGAAGATCTGCTGCACCATGTTTAAAATGAACTTCTTTTTATGGTTATTGTTTGTTTGAGTTCACTCTGTGTTGGATCCTAGACGGGATTTTATTGCATCGGTTTTCTGAGAAAACAACCTGAAATGGTCAATTTCAACATCAGCAGAACAAATACCATAATTTTCTCCATAGAAAATTTACCTAGGAGCTTTTCTTAAACCCAACTTAAATATCTATGAATAATTGTCATGCCTTAAACATAAGGATTGTGCTTTTAAACTTAACCAAGTAGTTATAATATCTAAACCTAGACAAACAGCAAATGGAGCAATAATTAAAATCAAATCTAAAGAAAAAACTTAGCATTCCTTGCAGTAGTGTGGTCCACCGTGACTGGTGTCAGGGCTTAAAACTGAAATCACATCATGCAAAGCAGGGCCAGCCTAAGCCTCCATGGGGCCCTAAGCAAAATTTGGTTTGGGGCCCACTATTTCTGCTAATGATGTGGATTATTGCAATCGACAATCAGATGATCTAATCATTCACCCATCTGACATAAACTCATTGCAACTCTGACAGCCCTCTTTACATTATCCTATATATGTATATATCAGTGGTACACAAAAAAAAAAAAAACACCAGTATGTAATGTATTTTACAGCAAAAGTGTCATGTGGTTTATTATCTTTGGTTCCAAAGAACAGCAACAGTAATGTTCAAAATAATTTGTAGTGCCAGATCAACAACAAACATCAGATTAAATAACTTAGTTGCATAAAAATAACTTGAATTGTGCAAAAACAGACAAAATTAAATAGATTATAAAATCAAATATCAAGGAAATATTTAAATAATGTAAATGAACAATTACTTGAAACCATGTAAAATGGTTTACAAAAGAAATTTAAAGTTGAATAATTAGTTCTTAAAACTATGTAAATGTGTGCAATGATTTGCAAAAGCTGAACTTAAAGTATTACACAACCTTTACTCACACATTTGACCTGTTT